TATGGACGCGGAAGTTCACCGCACAAGTAGAGAAGGAAAAACCAATCACACAAACTAACACATCATTTGTAAAGTAATTGTGTAAAAAATAGATATACATGCAGTTATAAGGGTCCATTTGGTTTACTACCAAAATCAATTTCACACACTGCAGCACGTCTTTCAATGTAAAATCTATGGCTGTATTTAATTTGTACATACATCTCAATCACTTGGACAAATCTATATAAGAATTTTTGGAACGATGGAGATGTCATGATCCATGCAAGCACAACATGAGATAGAGAATTCAACAAACCTGACAACTAGAATTGACTCTTTCTATTTCTTTCATTATCCTCAGGGAATCATCTTTAAATCCATCCTGCAGCATTACAGTTCATAACAATCAATACACAACATCATTACCAGCAACTTTCTATTAATATAAAACAGAAGCACATGACCAGATCAGCATTCCCTGAACCTAAAACTAAGTTAAGCTCAATCCATGTAAATATTTATAGACGAAATATGAATAAGTTGTGAAGACAAATTATTCACCACCACTACCTTCTCTATTCCTCTACATCCATCAAAATACAGTGAAAACTTACCATGCAACACAACTACAACATGTAAATCCATTGTGAATGTTGAAATATGATGTTTTTCTATTTTTCCTTAGACTAGGGTTAAGGATTTGGACCGAGACCCATATCCTCTCTATTATATCTCTTTTATCTATAAATACAATGTAACTATGTCTTTTGACACTTTATTTGAAACCCTACATAAGTTTCTCAGATTGGTATCAGAACGAGTACGATCCCACGGTTATTTCCTATCATTCCTGTCATCTCCGACCGCCATCAGCTGCCAGCCACTATGTTAGTTTGGTCCGGCGAAGGTAAGATTTGGTGCACCTAAAAAGAGCGCGACTCACCCCTGCAAGTCGCTCCTCAGTCAGCCATCCCATGTGCCATTACGCACGTTCATTCCAGAGGGTCATCTCAGGCACGTGTGTCCCACGTGCCGCCTTCAAATAGCCATAATCAAGGCCGATCACTTTCGTTCGACTCGCTGGCACCCTCTGAGTCCTATGGTGCCCTTATTTTTCTGTTGAGAACTTTGGAAGCTAGGTCATGTGGGTACCCTATTGGTTAGGTTTATCTTTCATCTCTATTTCAGATAAATGACTTCATCTAGTGCTTTTTCTTTTTCTGCTACTATAAAAGGTCATCCTCAATGTTCCTATTGCAAGAAGATGGGGCACACGCAAAAAAATTGCTATTCCTTCATAGTTTTCCTACCAGGAATACCACTTCCCATGTTTCTAAGTCTTGAAAAACCGGATTTGAAAATCTCTTATGAGGAGTATTAAGAGTTTTTGAAGTTCAAATTAGGAAAATTAACCAGTCAGGATCAATCTTTTTTCATGCCTAGTATTTCAACAACATGCATTTCTTAATATGTGGAAGGTCAAAACTTATGGATTCTTGATTCAGGTGCCTTTGATTATCTAGTAACAGTTCCTCATTTTCCTCCATATCCGACCCTAAAATTTCTCACCTGATTATTGTGGTTAATGGATCTAAAGTAAAATCACAAGGAATTGGCCATGTTCCTTTAACCCCTTCTTTGAATTTAAATTTTGTTCTTTGCATTCCTAATTGTCCTTATAACTTGATTTCTCTAAGTCAATTGACTTGTTCTCTGAATTGTTTTGTAACCTTTAATTCCAATTCTTTTGTTATTCAGGAACATGATACGGGTCATCTGATTGGATAAGGTCATGAATCACGTGGTCTGTATTATCTAAATTCAAGTCCTTCGGGGTCATGTCTTATTTCTCCTTCTCCTAAACTTTTACATGATCGTTTGGGTCACCCAAGTTTACCAAAATTGAAAGTAATGGCTCCTAATCTCAAACATCTTGGTGGTTTGGAATGTGAATCTTGTCAATTAGGAAAACATGTTAGGTCTACCTTTCCTAAACACTCTGAAACTCCGTGTAATTTTCCTTTCTCAAATATTCATTTTGATGTTTGAGGACCGAGTTGTATCTTTTCATTTGGCTTTCAATATTTTGTAACCTTTATTGATGAATTTTCCAGATGTACTTGGTTTTATTTAATGAAAGACATCTCAAATTTGGTCCATTTTTGTATCCTTCTTCAATGAAATTAAAAATAAATTTGAGAAGATAATAAAAGTTCTTAAAAGCGATAATGCCAAAGAATATTTTTCAACCTCCTTCTCTTCTTTTTCATCTTCCCAAGGCATTTTACATCAGTCAACTTGCCCTCACACTTCACAACAAAATGGTATTGCTGAAAGGAAAAATAAGCATCTTATTGAGATTACACGCTCTCTAATGTTGAATGTCAATGTTCTTGTTCATCATTAGGGAGATGCAGTTCTCACTACTTGTTTTCTGATCAACCGCATGCTATTTTCTTCTCTTCAAAATCAAATTCCTCATTCCTTTATCTTTCCAAATGATCCTATTCATCATGTGTCTCCTCGTGTATTTGATTGTACCTGTTTTGTTCATAATGTCTCTCCAGGTCTGGATAAGTTAGGTGCTAAAGCCATTAAATGTCCTCTTAGGGTACTCTCGCTTTCAAAAAGGGTACAAATGTTATTCTCCATCCACCAAAAGGTATTACATGTTTGCTGATGTCACCTTATGTGAGGAAACACCCTTCTTTTCCTCCTCCATGGAAGATGATTCCTCTATTCAAAATGTTCTCCCTGTACGCTCATGTGATCCATTTATAAAACCTGATCCTTCACCAATTCAACCTACAGGTCTCAATGATTCTCCTCCTCTTCTTATACCCTTACGTGATCCACATACACCTTTACCAGATTTTGTAGATAATCGTGATTCAAAACCTTCTCCATCAGATTATCATACCATGGATCCTTTGACCTCCTCTCCCACTTTTGATTATGGATGGCCTATTGCAATCAGAAAAAGTATTTGTTTATCTCGGAATCTCTTTCCTATTTATAACTTTTTAAGTTACTATTGTTTGTCTCCTTCCTATTCCTCTTTTGTTGTTTCTTTGGTTGACACCTTTATTCATAATATTGTCCATGAGGTTCTTGATCACCATGGATGGCGACAAGTCATGATTGGTGAAATGCAGGTTCTTGAGCACAATGGCACTTGGGAGCTTGTCCCTCTTCCTCCTGGCAAAAAGGTTGTAGGTTGTAGGTGGCTCTATGCAATTAAAGTTGATAATAATGGTAATGTGGATCGTCGTAAAGCTCGTTTAGTAACTAAATGCTACACTCAAATTTATGGTCGCAACTACTGTGATACCTTCTCTCCAATAGCTAAGATTTCTATTATTCGTCTTTTCCTTGCTATGATTGCGATTCTTTATTGGCTCCTTCACCGACTGGACATTAAAAATGTCTTTCTTCATTGTGACCTCGAGGAAGAGATTTGTATGGAGCAACCTCCTGGTTTTGTTACTCGAGCTTGGTTTGGGAAATTTAGTCATGTTGTACAATTGTTTGGCTTGAAAATGAGTGAAGCAGATCACTCAGTGTTTTATTGTCATTCCTCTTCAGGCAAGTGTGTGTATCTTATGGTTTATATTGATGATATTGTTATTCCAGGCAATGATTATACAAAGATAATCCAACTGAAGAATCATCTATTTGCTCACTTCCAAACCAAATATCTTGGTCAATTAAAGTATTTCCTTGGTATTGAAGTGGCTCAATCAAAGGAAAGTATGATCATCTCTCAAAGGAAGTATGTCCTTGATATTATGCAAGAGACAGGTTTAACAAATTGTAAACCCATTGATACCCCAATGGACCCTATTCAAAAATTGATGGGAGATAAAGAAGAAAAGTTGTCAAATCCAGAAAGATACAGGAGGTTGGTTGGTGAACTCTTTTATCTTACTATTACCCGACCTGATCTTTCTTATGCAGTTGGAGTAGTTAGCCAATTTATGCAAAATCCTAGTGCTAATCATTGGGACACCTTGATTCGCATTCTGAGATATATTAAAGGGGCCCCAAAACAAGGATTATTATATGAAGATAAGGGTAATACTCAAATTCTAGGTTATTGTGATGCAGATTGGGTTGGTTGTCCCATTGATAGAAGATCTACTACTGGGTATTGTATCTTTATTAGAGGGAATTTGATTTCTTAGAAGAACAAAAATCAAAGTGTTGTTGCTCGATCTAGTGCAGAAGCTGAATATAGATCTATGACACTCGCTACATGTGACCTTGTGTGGATCAAACAATTTCTTCAACAACTAAAATTTTGTGATAATGGGCAGATGAAGTTGTTTTGTGATAATCATGCAACTCTCCATATTGCCTCCAACCCAGTCATTCATGAAAGAACAACACATATTGGGATTGATTGTCACTTTGTTAGAGAAAAGTTAGTGTCTAAGGAACTTGTAACAGAATTTGTAAGCTCCAATGAGCAACTGGCAGACATTTTAACTAAATCCTTGAAATGTCCTAGGATTCAGTTTATTTGGTCCAAGCTTGGTGCATACAATCTATATGCTCCAGCTTGAGGGGGAGTGTTAAGATATGATGTTTTTCTATCTTTCCTTAGACTAGGGTTAAGGGTTTGGGCTGAGGCCAATATCCTCTCTATTGTATCTCTTTTATTTATAAATACAATGTAACAGTGCCTTTTGACACTGTATTGGAAACCCTAAATAAGTTTCTCAAGTGTGAAATATTAGCGATGCCACTAACTAATTCTCCAATAAAATGCAGAAAGAAGTTCACGAAGAATGGAAGGCTATGAACAATGCTTAATAGAATAGCAGTTCAAGCAAGTTGGTAGTAGAAGGCCAAAAAATCCACTACATCATCATTATTAGGGATAGTGTGTCATGGACAAATTGCAGTAATCAAAGAGAAGTTGAAATACATGAATCATATATATAAAAACTTTAGCTGTCCGCAACCAAAAATAAGCTGCATAATTTTGCATAATAAAATAAAATTAACTCAATCAGTTCAAGGAGGAAGATCCATGTAATCCCACAACCCAGTCTCAAGAAGAAACTGTGGCAACCATCCTGGCCACAATAGCTATTTTCCTAATGGAGGATTTAGGCAACACAGAACCGCTCAATGTTGTTAAACTCAAGATTCTACTTCGATCTGGAGGGGTGAAAGTTTGTAACCCGAAGATTGTAAGATTCTACACTCCTACCTAAATGCAGAATTATACCCAATATAATACATACTTATATAATACATGTGTACCAAAAACAAAATAAATAAGGAAAATACTACCAAAATCACTTCCGCAAAATGAAATCACAACATTAAACACACTTTAATACAAAATTCATCATGAATAATTAAAAACTTACATAATACATATATCACAATTGTTTTAAAAGTCACAGTCCCACTGTGAATAATTACAAGTACAATTATATATACACACAAACACTCACATACATACACTTAGGTCCAGTCAAAAACAAAATTATACATTATATATTATAATAATCATTTTAAAAGTCACAGTCGCAATATCTATACAATTACAACTTTATACACTTAGGTCCAGTCAAAAACAAAATTATACATTATATATTATAATCATTTTAAAAGTCACAGACACAATCTTTGAATAATTACAATATATATGAGAAGAAACCTATTTACCTCAACAATAAGAATTAAAGACCTACTCTTCATGCTCGCCATTCATTTCTTATAATATAATAATTAAAATAAATTGTTATTTTTAACCATTAGGTTACCAAAAATTGAATAGTCAAGAATAAGTGTAAGTCTCCAACTCTTGAAATAAGTGGATCCCTCTCCCTCTATTTGAGAAACACTTCAAAAAGGTGAAAAGAAAAGAGATCAAATGAACAGAAAAAGAATTTCCATTCACAAATCAGATAAGAAACTTTGGGAAAAGAAGGACAGACTGACCGTTCAATTTAGTTAGCACTATGCTCAGTTTGCAAAAGAGGCGCAATCAACAGAAGCCCAGACTGCAATAGTAGTGCAGCATGGACATTCAACGTTTGCAAATGTATATAGCACATTTGAGAAACACTTAGCAAATTGGTGAAAAGAGAACAAATGAACAGAAAATGAAGTTCCATTCACAAAACAGATAGGAAACTTTGGGAAAAGAAGGACAAGCTGACCTATCAATTTAGGTCGGGCGATGCACAGTCTGCAAAAATGGTGCAATCAACAGAAGTCCAGACTGCAATGGTAGTGCATCATGGACATCCAACATTTGCAAATAAATAAGGACGGACTTATGTGTGGTATGGAAGTCTTATGAATAGAAAAATACTAATTCAATCTTAACTTGGAAAATAAGATTTGCACTTTAATTATTTGATATTATTTTGTCATATCTTTAGTCGACGTAAAATTTACAACACACCCCTCACGCAAAGGAATATATATATCTCAAGAGCATGAAATTGAATATTTAAGGATAATCACTTACTAAGATTAGCTCCGACAAATGGAGAGGTGACTATCTGAAACCTAAAAAATCATTTTGTAAGATGAGATTTCCATTTCAATTATATATTATCATTGTCATATTTCTAATTGAAATGGAATTTCCAATAGGAAGAAAGGGTCTCACTCAAAAAAGTGTTTTTCGAATGGGGATGAAAGAATTGTATGCCCTTTAACTTTACATTGAAAACAAAATGGACCTGTCCGAGTTTATTTGGGCACCATGACTTGCTGGAGTCATAAACCCAATATTACCATATGAAAGATCATATCATCCTATTATGGTAAACTGTAATCCTAGGCACAATTTAGTCCACAATACCACCTTTGATGAGTAGGACTGTACAATCCCATAAGATGCATCACAATTTTAACAGCAACTACTTAACAGCACTGAAATTACTAAATTGTACATGCTAGGATTGCTATATGTCCTGATAATGTCCGGCTTGATCCAATTAAGAATTTTTATGCATAGTAAGATTACTAACCCACATAATAATTACTTCAATAAAAGTCATAACAGAGTGATTTCATCAAAATTAAACTCACAAATAAATAGACAAGATATGCGGCTTCCTATTACTACTAGTGCCCTCTTCCTCTTTATCCATCATGAAATTTGCATGGTCAACATTTCCAATTCATTTGCAAACCACTTCAGTCTAAAATAACTAATCCTCCAATAAATCACAGTAATAAAAACTTAACAAGTTCAGCAAGTGCGCAACTCAATAGAATTACCTCAGCAAGCATTTGATCAGCCTCATCAAAAACAAGAATCTTCAACCTAGCGGCCCCGAGTTTCTTGAAGCTCATCCACTTCTTGATGGTGCCAGGGGTACCAATTACCACCTGCGCCATAACTGGCGCCCTTTTCGCGATCGAGGAGGCAGTGCTATCAGTCGGCACAGCACACTCCGACGCAATCCCGGTGTACTTCCCCATCTTGCGGAGAACTTCGATGTTCTGATTAGCCAACTCCCGGGTGGGACAGACACAAAGAGCCTGCGGCGCCTGCAGCTTGGGATCGACGCGGCTGAGCATCCCGAGCACGAAGCACGTGGTCTTGCCAGAGCCGTTGTGCGCCTGCGCGATGAGGTCCCGGTGCGGCGGGCTCAGGATCATCGGCAAACTTAGCGCCTGGATTTTGCTCGGTTTCTGGAACTTCATCTCCACGTAGAGCCCCTTCAGTAGCTCCGGCGAGAGGTTCAGGTCCTCAAACGTCGCGGCCGACGTATATGGCGTTTCTCCGGAAGTAACCTGAACGCAATAAAAAACCCTAACATTCAATTCAAAGCCCTAACTGACAATACTATATCGCTTGAGGCAATATTTGCTCCATTCAAAACCCTAACCGATAGTGAATACAGAGAGAGAAGTGTTTTGTAGGAAGTGAAACGCACCGCTTGGATGTTGGAATCGTCGGGGTCGTCTAAGAGTTTGGGAGGGCTCTCGTTGTCTTCGATTTTTAATGCGTCGAGGTTGACAGAAGAGGTTTCGGCGGCTGTGGCAGTGGTGGAGGCGGAGGCGTCAGTTTCTTCCTCCGCTTCGTCAGCCCAGCTTTTGGTCAATGGCGGCGGAGGGTCGGTTGCGGGGTCGGTGGATGGTTCTGCCATGGATCCGACCGGTGGATTAGTGTATGCAGTGAGTGAGTGAGTGTCCGCGTGAAAAATGAACAAACGTTCTTCGTATAATAAATGATGTGAGGTTGCGTTCGAATGACGGTGGCCCAAAAATACAATTCCAATGTTTGGGCCTATATTATACATTTTTACGACTTTTTCATCTACACCTCCATAATTTCTTCCTTCACACCATAATTTATGTAAAATAATCGAAATATTTTTTTAAAATTTTTTTTGCAACCATAATATATTTATTTTATTTTTTATATATTTATAATAATAAATAATTAAAAAATTATATTAAAATATAAATAAATTTATTAATAATAAATAAGTTTATTTTACTTTTCACTAATTTTTATTAGTTTTTCTTAATCTAAACAACTTCATTTCCTACTCTCTTTCTCACCTTTTTCCAATTTTTTTCAAATCCACTCTTTAATCAAAACATACCATGAAAGTTTCTTATTTTTTGCTCTTCTGCAACTTCGTAGTGTTGAAAAATTTAAGTGTGAGCCTACATTTCACATTATGTACGAATGAAGAAGTTAAGCAACTTAATGTCTTAAGATTTTTTATTGATGGTGGTATCAATCTTTTATGTGAATTGAGTTCTTGTCTCATTAATGTTGTCTCTCCCCTAATAAATCTCTTCGAAAGACCTAACACATAGTTACTATAATTTCATTATGTTGTGATTTCACTTCCATTAAAGATTCTTTTTAACCCATAAGGTAAGAAATTGTTAATATTTTGTACCTAATAGATGAAAATTGGACTATAAATATAGGTATCCAAATTGTTGAATCTAAAAACGCATCTTCAAAATAAAAAGTGTGTTTTGGAACACTCAATGCAAAATACATTTCTCAATCCATAAATGTATTTTAAATTGGGTATTTTAAATATATATTCGGATTGGATGCTCCGGAGTGTATTTTCAAATTAGGTGTTCTAGAGTGTATTTTCATATGTTCTGAAAATATATTCTAAACACAATCAATTTAGAATAATTTCCAGATTGATTATTCTAAAAATCATCCACAACATCCAATCCATAATGCATTTATGGAATAACCAATCCAAAAATGAATTCTAGAAATGTAAACATGTTTAATGAAGAATAAAATTACGGGCTGAAAGAAGAAACTATAGAGGTGTAAAGAATCTATCCAATAAAAAGAAAAATCAGATTTAAAGATTTATATTTGTAATAAACAAAATTAAATAAGTTCAACTAATAAAAATATTGCTTATAAAAATAATGTTTTAGAAGATATAATTATTTTTTGTCAACTTTTATTTATTTATTCATGAAATATAAAACATAAATGATCCAAACATCATAGGATAGAAACATTAGTGTAATATTAACAGATAATTTTTTAATCAACAATTAAATTTATTTACTTTACACTGAAAAATAAAATTAACTGAGTGGTGAAGATTCACTTGATTTAGTAAAAAGACTCATTATATGTTTCATTTTCTGTTAAAATAAAATTTAGCATATGTTGGTTGAAGCTTTTTCATTTTCATGCTTAAATATTTAATATTAAAGCTAAAATTAAATATACAAATTTTAATAAACAATTGAGTTTAATAAAAGTTATTAGTTTCTCTTATCATTGTCTATTAAGGATTAAATTATCGTTGAAAAATTGTCTGAATTTAATGTTTGGTCAAACTTTAAATAAGTTGGTCATTGAAAAAAAAAGTTTAAAATAAAGTATAATTTATTTCATAATTCAAATTATAAGCTTTTTTAAAACTAAGATTTTTATTTTTTTTATCTTATATTTGTTAGTTTAAGATCAGAGAGAAATGAAGGCTATAAATTACAGAGAGTGCTGATATTTTGACAATCGGATTTAAACATCAGTTCAACCCAATAAAAAAATAATAAATGTACAGTGTTACAGAATAAAAAAATATTAAATGTACAGTGTTTTTATTATTAAATAATTCATTCCTGGGTCATCTCTCCTCCTTCTCCTATTCTCATTTTTGTAACACAGAACTTTCTCGTTCCTTCGTCGACCTCGACCGGGACCTTCGCGGTTGTGAACTTGCCCAACTTGTCAGTCGAACTCACTCACCACCGCATTGTACAATTTTTCCGGCAACATCGTCAACGTGGTTCCGTGGTTGGCATTTCAAATTTAAATAATTTTTTTTTTAAATTGGGACTTTGGAAAGCGGTTATGATCACTTTTAAGAGCGGTTAATAATTTCACCGCTCTTAAAAGTGAATCAGATTTCGCTCGAGCGATAATAGTGTCGCTCAAGCGAAACTCACCCCGAGAATCCCATATCTTAGCAGGTGGCGTCGCTCGAGCGATATAAATATCGCTTGAGCGATTTTTGACTTGTGGCTAAACGTCCATCAAAGTTAGCCGCATAATGTAACATGGGTGAGCACATGTTTGAATCATATTTCGCTCGAGCGAGACTAGTGTCGCTCAAGCGAAAATCAACCCGAGAACCCCCCAATCTTAGCAGGTGGCGTCGCTCGAGCGATGTGAATTTCGCTTGAGCGAGATTAGAAAAATCATATAAAATGATCGATTATTTTAGCTTATAATCGATTATACGTTATGATGATCGATTATAAGTGGTATATGATCGGTTATATTAGGCTAATAGATTATAATATTAATTTATCTGTCATAATTAAATGTAAGCGACGATAAAGTCGCTCAAGAGACCTTACGTGTAACCTAAAGGCAAAATCAGTGAGCGACGCCGACAGTCACCTGTTTCACATCTGCGCGATAGAAGCACTGACGTTGAAGAAATTTGTTGATTGTTACCTTCTTCTCGCCATCAATCTCCTCCATTATCATTATCTATCGGAGATCCTTTTCCTAAGCTGCATTTTTACGGTTCAAGTAAGTGCATTCTTATCGTTTTGTGCCTATGTTCATGTTAGTCTACAATTTTCATGAATTTTTTGCTGAATAATTGGTTCGTTAGCTGTTTAATTTGTAAATAGTTTGCTGAATTTTTTGCTGAATAATATGGTTGCTATTATATTGTTGTCAATGGTAGGAAGTGTATCCTTCATCGTTTATCTAGCATGGGAGATATAAATGAAAACAGAGATGTAGCTGTCAACGAAGGCATTTTGGCCGTGTATGATGACATAGGTAGTGATGCGGATGTACAACAATGTGATGGTCCTCTCAAAGGTGTAGACCAAGAAATGATAGGTGTACATGATAACATACCCAGTAATGCAGATGTCACAAGTTTACATGAAGAAGTGTTGGTTGGCCATGATGAAGGATCTCCTGACGCAGATGTCAGGACTACAACAGAATACGACGTAACATACCCAGTAATGCACATGTTAACAATATAACAATGTTGATTGACGAGAGCTTTTTTTGATTCAATGTCTTGTTGGCTGGATAACGTCATCAGTAGTGTAGACTATACATTCTGATTTTGTTAGAGTATATATGATAGGACATAAACGTGCAACAGTAGTGTAGACTATACATTCTGATCTTGTAAGAGTTGTGGATGTAAATATAACAATGTAACAGCAATTGTAATTTCTTCAATGCATTTATCAGCAGTTGATGGTCCATACATTTACGTAACAATCATCGGTTGTAGACATTTATCAGACATGTGATAAAAAACAAGTTGAGTACTTAAACAAGTTTATCAGCTTTCTTAAACAAGTTTTTAAACAAGTTTATCCGGACATTTATCAGCTTTCTTAAACAAGTTTTTAACTGATACAGCTTTGATAGAACCGATTAAAATTACTTAGAATATTCAGAGAAGTGTTTTTACAGTATTTTAATCGATACAACTTGAGTTTAATCGGTTAAAACCAATTGGAGATCAAAATGATCGATCATAATAAAATTATGACCGATCAGAATAAGATATGATCGATTAGAACTGAATTATGACCGATCAGAACTATTTCAATCGATTAAATCTCGTTTCAATCGATTAAATCTCGTTTCAATCGATTAAAACTTATTTTTATCAGTTAAAATAACTTGAAAAGTTTTACAAGAAAGTTGTGCAGTATTTCAATCGATTGAATGACGAAACAATCGATTAAATCAAATTAGAAGATTTTTGTAAAGTGTTTTAATTGATACAAACGTTGTCGTATCAGTTAAAACAAATCTGTTAAAGAATCAAGAACGTATTAATGGATTAAAAGAACTTTTAACAGATTAAAACTGCACTTTTAACAGATTAAAAGAATCTTTTAACAGATTAATTAAACCAGCAGTTGTGAAAATGTTCTATAAAAACAGAGTTGCTTGAACTTTTTAAACACACATTGAATATCATCTTTTACACATCCTTGAGCAATCAATAAAGCAAACTTCAGCACTCTTTTCAAAAAAAGATTCGCATCAGTTTTTGAGAAGTTCTTTGAAAATCTTTCTTGAGGCAACTTGTTTTCTTTTGAAGAAGAAACACTTACAGCAGAATTGCATAAACTGGTTGTAGAGGTTGTCAAGAACTGGAATTTGGTTCTTGGTAAAAGGTTAGGTGTTGGTGCCTGGAATTTGGGCACTGGGTTCTCTGCAGCTGGAATTTGGTTGTAGAGGTTATCAAGAACTGGAATTTGGTTCTTGGTGAGAGGTTGTTTGCAGGAACTGGAATTTGGTTCTTGTTGTAGATTAAGTGTAAGATTTTAAATCTGTAAAACATTTGATCTAGTGGAACCCAGCTGGAATTTGGCTGGAGACTGGACGTAGCCCTGGTATTGGGTGAACCAGTATAAAACACCGGTGATATTAGATAATCTGTTATTTGCGAAAAACTTTTAAAGAACAACTCACCCCCCCCTCTCATTTCGATAGCGGTTATTTGTCCAACCACTATCTGAACTATACATTATGATCGATTATTATCTAATTGATTGACATATATGACTTTACATAGCGGTTTGGACAACCGCTATCTAAACTATGCACTATGATCGATTATTATACAGTTATAATCGATCA